TTAGAGAGGATAAACTGCAGATCAACACCATTAGAATTGTAGAGCTTACTGCAAGGATTCTCTTCATAAAATTTAGACCAAAACTAACAACGTTTGGCCACTAATCGTTAAGCTAAAATCTCAAGATCCTAATTTTCTCTCTCCTTCTCTCTCTATTCCTTTCTCTCACCGTGCGCCACCATAGTTCTGTGTGCTCTAGCTGCACCCGTTTCCCTCACGTCTTCTCCTTTTCCTTTTAATAATTGATTTGGGCTCAAAAGACCCAATTATCCAAGCCCACATATGGGCTGGACCCAATAATTCTCCCCCTCCAGCTCATATGGTGGGCTTCGCTCTTTACCTACATGCTTTAAGCTTTTTCTTAGGCAAAGACTTTATCAACATATCTGATCCATTCTCATTGGTATGCACTTTTTCCAAGTGCAATTCTTTCATCTCAAGCACATCACGAATCCAATGATATCTCACATCAATATGTTTGGATTAGGAATGGTATGTTGAATTCTTAAAGAGGTGAATGACACTCTAACTGTCACAGTAAACAATATATCATTCCTGTTTCAAGTCCAATTCCTATAGAAACATTTTCATCCATAAAGTTTCCTTGCAAGCTTCAGTAATTGCTATGTATTCTGCTTCTGTGGTTGATAGAGCAACATAATTCTATAACTTTGATTCCCAAGAGACTGCTCCCCCTACAAATGTCATCAAGAACCCCGAAGTGGACTTCTTGGAATCAGTATCACCTGCTATGTCTGCATCTGTGTAACCTTCTAACACAGGTTTATCACTGCCAAAACATAAACATAACCTGGAACTACCTCTTAGATATCTTAATATCCATTTTATTGCTGCCCAATGTTCCTTTCCAGGATTAGAGAGAAATCAGCTGATAACTCCAACTGCATGAGCTATATCTGACCTAGTACAAACCATATCATATATCAAACTGCCTACTGCAAATGAGTAAGGCACTTTGGACATTTCTTCTTTTTCTTTCTCACTTATAGGGCATTGCTTCGAACTAAGCTTGAAATGACCTGCAAGTGGAGAACCAATTGCTTTGGCTTTACTCATGTTGAATCTTTCAAGAACCTTTTCAATGTAGGTCTCCTGAGATAGCCAAATCTTCTTTTTCTTCCTATCATAAAGAATCTTTATGCCAAGTATTTATTTCACCGATCCCAAGTCTTTCATGGCAAAAGGCTTACTTCGCTCTCTTTTAAGCTTTTCAATTTTACTGGCATCATGGCCAATAATCAGCATATCAGCAACATATAGTAGGAGAATAATAAAATCATCATCTAAAAATTTCTTCATAAACATACAATAATCAAATGTAGTTCTATTATACCCTTGGCTCATCATAAAGGAATCAAACTTTTTGTACCATTGTCTAGGTGCCTATTTGAGTCCATATAAGCATTTTCTAAGCTTACATACCAGATTTTCTTTTCCCTTGACTTTGAAACCTTCTGGTTGCTCCATGTAAATTTCTTCTTATAGGTCACCATGAAGAAATATTGTTTTCACATCAAGTTGCTCAACTTCTAAATTTAAGCGGGCAGCTAAACCAAGAACAACTCGGATAGAGGACCTTTACACAACTGAAGAAAATATTTCTTCAAAGTCAATACTTTTCTTCTGACTGAATCCTTTCACAACTAGTCGTGCCTTGTATCTTTGTTGTGAGCTATTATTTTCAGACTTCAATTTGTAAACCCATTTATTCTTGAGAGATTTCTTCTCTTTAGGCAACTTTACTAAATCATATGTGTGGTTCTCAAGCAAGGATCTCATCTCTTCTTGCATGACTTTAACCCACTCATTCTTATGTTCATGTAGAATAGCTTCTTGGTAAGTTTCTGACTCTCCCCTGTCAGTAAGCATAACATACTCATATGGAGGATATCTGGTAGATGGTTGTCGCTCTCTAGTGGATCTTCTCAATGGAATCTCAACTGGTGGTGGAGGTACTTGTTCAGTTGGTTTAGCATCATCAACTGTAGGAGTATCATCACTTACATTCTCACCACAATCTCCTTATTCATCTCCCCTATGATCATCATGAACTATAGGTGAAGGAACTAGACTCAAACCCCAAGGAATATAAATAGAGGTTTTTGGCTTCTCAACATTATCATCATCATCAAACAATTGGTCTTCAAGAAATACAACATCTCTGCTTCTAATAATCTTCTTGTTCATTGGATCCCATAATCTGTACCCAAACTCTTCATGACCATATCCTAAGAAGATACATGCTTTTGCTTTATTATCAAGTTTGGACCCTTTTTATCTTTGGAACTATGAACAAATGCTTTACACCCAAATACTCTCAAGTGATTATAAGATATATCTTTTCCTTTCCATACTCTCTTTGGAATATCACCTTTTAGAGGAACTGATGGAGAAAGATTTATTAGGTCAACTGTAGTTCTCATAGCTTCTCCCCAAAATGACTTAGGTAACTTGGCATGAGAAAGTATATACCTAATCCTTTCTTCAATAGTTGTGTTCATCCTTTTTGCCACACCGTTCTACTGAAGAGTTTTAGGAACTGTTTCTTAAGCCTGATACTATGGAACCTACAATAATTCTCAAAATGACCCCTATACTCGCCACCATTATCTACTCGAATACACTTTAACTTTCTGTTAGTTTCTCTTTCGACACTGACATGAAACTCTTTGAAAACATCAAGTACCTGGTCTTTAGATTTCAAAGCAAAAGCCCACACTTTTCTAGAATGGTCATTAATAAAAGTAACAAAATAAAGAGCACCTCTAAGAGTTCTAGTTTACATAGTATAGACATCAGTATGAACTAAATCAATAACATCTTATTTTCTAGATGATGGATATGTATGAAAGATAACTCTATGTGTTTTTCTAGCTAAGCAATGATCACAAGATTTAAAAGATGTATTTGCAACTCTGGTAAGAACTGCTTTCTAGTAAGAGTTTGAAGTCCATTCTCGCTGATATGACTAAGCCTCTTGTGCCAAAGATCTATACTTTCACTCTTTTGAATTGTATTAATCTCTTCTTTGTGTAGCTTAGCTTCCATGACATAAAAAGAGTTAAGTTTCTTTCCTCTTGCCACAATTAGAGAATCTTTAATAAGTTTCCATTTGCTTTCATCAAAATAATATGCAAAACCCTCATCATCAAGTCTGCCTATAGATATCAAGTTAAGATAAATATCTGAAACATGCCTTACATCTTTGAGTATCAATTTGCTTCCAATACTAGTCTCTAAGCAAATATCTTCAATACCCACAATCTTAGATGTACTACTGTTTCCCATTTTGACATTACCAAAATCACCAATAGTGTAAGATCTAAAAAAATAATCATGAGAAGTAACATGAAATAAAGCATCAGAGTCAATTACCTAATTACTGTCCTGAGCTGCAAGACTAACACAACTGTCATCACAAACAATAATGATATTACATTTAGCAGCAACTGTATTGGTCTCTTTCTCATTTTTCTTCCTTTCATTCTGTTCTCACTTCCAAAACCTACACTCTTTCTTTGTGTGACCTGACTTGTTACAGTGGAAACATTTGATATCTTTTCTAGACTTAGATCTTCCTCTATAACTATGTGGATTTCTACTATGACTTCTTCCACGTCTTTCTTGTTTTTAAGTAACAAATGCACCAGAAGAAGATTCTCTTTGTTCTTTCTTTGTGGCATCTTCATTTAGAAAATTGTCTTTAACCATATCTATAGTTAGAGTCCCCTCTGACGTGGAGTTATAAATTGTCACCATATACATTTCTTAACTTTCTGGTAAAGAGTTAAGAAGTAATAATCCTTACATCTCATTATCTATATTCATTTTCATAGCAACAAGCTTATTTGCAAGACTCTGAAAGAGGCTTATGTGCTCAACAATATTTCCACCATCTTTATACTTTAAATTTATAAGTCTTCTGAGGAGAGAAATTTTATTTCCCACTATCTTTTTCACAAAGAGGTTTTCTAAGCTTTGCTAAACAACATCAGCTCTGGTTTCATCAGAAATATGCTCATGCAAGTTTATATCCATCTATCTTCTAATATAGGCAATAGCTTTTCTATATTGAACTTCTCATTCTTTATCGTCCATAGTAGAAGGTTTATCTTTAACCTTGATGGGCTTATACAAATCTTTGCAATAAAACAAATCTTTCATCATAAGCTTCTAAGTAAAATAATTTGATGAGTTTAATTTAATTATACCATCCTCCATTTCAATCACACGAGAAAAAACTAGCACTAAATAACCTGTTGCTCTGATACCACTTGTTGGGAAAAACTTGTTAAAGTAGAATAATTATTTTCCCTCTTTGTGTATCAAAATGGGTTTCTCATCAAAATACCAACTTGATATCCAAATATAAATATCAACCAGAACTACATAAACAGTAGAGTGATAAATCAATCATATAGTGAGACCAAATATTTAACGTGAAAAACTCAATGTGGAAAAAATTACGGGACCGTAGTCCACCTCAAACTTCTACTATCAATAATAATAATAACAGGTTTACAATAAGTCTTCTCTAAAATAGTAAGATGATCACAATAACATCAAGATTATATATCTTAGCTCAATAATAGCATATCTTCATCTCATAGATCTCATCATAAGAGAATTTTAGGTCTCACAAAGTGGGTATAGCAGAAAAGTACCTCAGAGAGGATAAATAGTAGATTAACACAGTTTGCTGCAAAGATTCTCTGCATAAAATTTGGGCCAAAACTAATAATGTTTGGCCACTAATCGTCAAGTGAAAAACTCAATATCCTAATTTTCTCTCTCTGTTCCTTTCACTCACCGTGCGCCGCCACAGTTCTGCGTGCTCTCGTTGCACCCATTGCTAATTGATTTGGGCTCAAAAGGCCCAAGTGTCCAAGCTGGCTGGACCCAATAGGATCATAGAATGTGATTGAGCTTAGTGTGTATAAGAAATATGGACAAGCTTTTTCAATATCAGACCTTGAATTTTACATTCTCAGATAACTGAAGATGAACTGGGCGATCTGGAGCTCCGTGATGGCCCGGTTCCAGCGTAGCGGCCAGCAATAGTCCATGCTGCAGGAGAGGTAGTAGGCATACATCGCGACGTGGACGGCGGCATTGGTCACGAGGGCGATCGGCATGAGGGACTGTGAGGTGGAGAGCCAGACGTAGCACATGACAACAACGACAGCGTGGTGGTTGGTGGTAGGCATGGAGGAAGGTGAGACCACCGCAACCGACGAGGAGGATGAGGAAAGAGTTAGCAAGTTCGGAGAGCTTGGAGAGGTAGAATACGTAGGTTCAGAAGAAAAGGGGCACGTCGCGATTGGTATCAGATCGGGGGGAGCGAAGGCGGGTGGCAGCTGAGAGAGCATAGCTGGCTGCCATGGAAGCGGAGAGGTCTAGGAAGACAAGGTTGTGGGCGGAGGAGAGGAGGGCGAGGAGGACAGGGGAGGGGCGAGGTAGGGGAAGGCGGCGATGGCGACGATGGGGACCGAGGCACCGAACGTCTCGTTGGGCCTCCACTCGAGGGACTCGAATGTTGGGTGCTCCACTAGCCACCAGTGGAGCCACCCGTGCACCCACGACGCTGCCATTCCCCCTTTCTTCTTCTCCTCCTACTCGGCTGTGACGCTCATCGTAGGGCCGCACGCGTAAACGGTTTTCCTTCGAGACAGGAAGCAGCCAACGAAGGGCTATCTACGTATTGCCCTTGTAGTTTATTGTTTTTAGCGTCCATCCTTCTATTTAAAAAAGTTATATCACCATCCTCGTAATTATTACCAAAATAAAATAATTAAACCTATTTATCAACATTAGTTTTACTAATAAAAATATAAAAAATAATAATTTTAATATTCGATGGTCGACGATATCAATGATGGACGACAACACCGCTAGCGTCCGTGGTGGCATCGCTTCCTTGTTCATGGACGCCCTCCAATCCATCTCTTCATCGTTGTTAGCCCGTCGACCACATCCGAGGAAGCACAACATTTCCTTATTCAACCCCGTGAACACAAAGTAATTCTCCAATAATAGCCACATCTTGGCGTCGCCCTTGAAATAGAAGGTTAGCTCCGGTAGATCCACCTCTATCTCATTTGGCGATAGAGCGACGCATAGGTGCAATCTTGTTTGGTCCTCTATATCTACGAATCGGTTGTATTGATTTGCCATGCTGTCACGGACTTAGCTGGATTTGCCTAAGTCGTGTGGCACCCTTGCGTGTCCATCTGCAAAATCAGCCTCCCCGAAGCCTCCCATGGTCCCTTAGGACCTACAAAAGAGAAAACGGGTTAGATAAAATGCCTCACTTAGGATCCATAAGCAAAAATTTCCGAAAACACTTCATAGATAATGCAAATTACAAACATACTTTACAAGCTCTAAACGGTTGCACAACAATGGGTCAAAATAGTCCATTATAGGCCGAATATCTCTCACAAGTGTCCATATGACACAATATTTATTTACAAGCCTAAGAAGGCCACCAAACTCAACTAAAATGGGGCTGTGAAGCCTTCGACCGTTCCTCACATGTTGTGCAAAGTATGAACAAATAGAAAGACACAGACATACATAAGTATTACATCAAACATCCTGTTTAGAACTTTGTTTGTGATATTCTCCCCCACTTATTCCTTCGACGTCCTCGTCGAAGCCTTTTGCCGACACTGCAACTCCTCGCCTTTGCTAAGTCTTCAATCTTCTGCTCCAGCTATAATATACCTCTTGGCTCCCAACTGCACTCCGCTACTGTTGTTGAGTAGTCGAACTTTTGATCCGCTATACCGTTTCAACTCGCCAATGACTTTGACTCTAGTGTGGAGTTGGTTGAGTTGTGTTGATCCTTGTTGATTCCTGCAAATCCTCCAAATGAAGAAAAATATCATCCTTACTATGTACCAGTCTCTCAAATGCCTCATGCTGCTTGAACTGGGTGGATGCTTGTTGGAGCTTTAACGAGCATCGCCTCGTAAACTTTCAAAGTTTTGGGTCATTCCTTCATAAAATGTCCATGAACTCTTCTTTCATTTAGTTGTCACTTCCAAGTAGATTCGCATCACTTCCGCTTTCGATTGGCATTCTGTTGGAAAATGAAGCGGATAATATACTCTCAGTAGCACTAATCACCATTGGTGAGGATTTGACAACTATTATCTTTCATTATCTTCGAAGGGTCTTTGAACCTGTGTAGCGCTCCTCTGTTGGATAGATAAGAGAATTGGGGTACTCGGTTTTGCCCATTCTCTTAAGAGTTGAGAAGGTAATGGTTACTTGACTTCGCCCGTCTCCTCAAGGGATGTACTCCATGCATCGAGCTGGTTACTAGCCTTCACCTGCTCTTTGCTCACACTTCTGAAGCACTCGAAGTGTTTGCACTCCTTGCATTGAGTTAGCTACTATGATTCACCTTTTCAATGCCATCGAACTTCTGGAATGTAGAAAGTTTTTACCCCAACTTGGAGTAATTCTCTAATAGATTTGGTCGCCTCTAGGATTGTACTGTCTTCTCTATCAACCTTGTCACCTACTCCACTGAGTAGCAAAAGTACAGCACCGCATACTGACTGCTTCGTTCCTTGGTCGTGCACTCTTGTATGACCTGAAGTCTTTCACTTTCAGCTATCTTGATGAGAAGCTCATTGATACCGGTCTTACGAAGTTCCTTGGCCTTTGCCCTTCAACCTTGTCTTAGTACTTAGAGTTTTCCTTTGTATGCTCCACCTCCTCGGCCCCTTTCACGACAAAGCGCTCTCCCTCCATTTGAGCAAGGGATCAATGACTTCCACGGAAGTCCCGCCTCTGTGGTACCATGGCGCTATCAAGCCCATGGCCTTACTATTTGTCGCCTCGCATCTACATCCCTTTTCTTTACGATCAGTAGATATGTCTCTATGGCACTCCTCCGAGTCTATCT